TGTGAATAGCTTGTTCACAGACAAACTATGATTTGTCTATAAACAGGCTATACACCGGAAAAAATTGCTGCTCACTAAAGTGTGTAAGATTGTGTACAAAAAGTGGGTACCAATAGTTTTTTTCTTGTTTTTTTTCAGTCATCATTACCCTTAATCCCGACTACGTTGGCTTGGTAACAAATTTATAGTATCACTATGCTTTCCAAAATTAGTTAGTCGTACATAACAACAATAACATTCAAGCCTTAGTTTCAAAAGATTTTGGGATCGGCTAACATGAATCGATACATGATATTGGAGCCAAAAGGAAGAGAAAGATAAGGTAAGATAAAATAAGATAAAGATAAAAATGATGAGATAAAAACTTAAAAAGGTATAAAAAGAATATATATATATATATATAATAAAAATGAAAAAAAAAAGGATAAAGAACATAAGAGACATAAAGAAAATAAAAGGATAAAAGATGACAAGAGATCAATCCTCCACACAAATATCCGCCCTCCACACGAAAAAAGTTGGTAAAGTTTTACGCTGAATTCTCTTCTCATTGTAACCTTCTCATGAAAGAATATATTGAGTCAACTGCTTAAATCTTATGTCTTGGGTTTGATCTCTGTACGCAAATTCCTGGGTCCATTTGTAACCCAAAAATGATGGGGATAGAAAATATGGAGAAAAGTGGAGTTATATATTGCAAGGGAAGTAATATGGGAAGAATAAAAAAAATGTGACTCAAAATCTAAACTAAATGAATAGATTAATATGTTTGTTTAGACTTTAGATTTGTTTTATTTATACACTCCTATTCTACAAAGACTAATGAATCTAAATATGTGTGAAGTTTTAAAAAGTTCTACCCAAAATTTATTTTCCTTTGTTTTTTCAATAACCAAACATAAAAAGGTGCTATTTGTGGGCCCTTTCCCCCTTTACCTAGTACCTACCACTCTTCAAGTTCCAAACATAGCTTTATTTAGTAGGATTCTTTGAGCCCTATAAGTGCAGAATGTCTACTTGCAATCACCACTTCAATAAAAATTATAAAAAAGATGAAAAATACTTCAAATTCATAATTCTCACCGCTTTGGAAGCTCATCAGCCGGAAAAGTTCTGCTTGCTTGCAACAAGTCCTCCCACACAGAGTTTGCAAAAACGTTACCCAATGCATCAAACAGAGTGATGATGGAAGGCTCCCACACCTTAACATCAAGTGTTAAGGATCTTACCTGTTTACGGTAATTATTGATAAAAATCAGGATACATTATTTCAACATATGATAATGTGGATAGTGAATAGAAATGAATTATAAGAAGTTTCAATGAAAATTGCATACTCCATGTTATTTGTCTATGAAGTATATTTTCTGACCCTCCCCCAGTCCCCCATTTCTTCCTTGTTTGCTTCATCTGTTCTGTTGATGATGGCTATTAAGCTTTTAGATTAGATGGTTTCTCAATTGAATTGAGTTTAAAACTCTCTGTACCATTAAAATGAGTCGTGCACGTGATAGGCTTTGCTTGGGTAAAGCCTCCAACCCGCCTACATGTGACTGGGAGGCAGCGTGTTGAAGATATTATTTTAAAAGATTAATTAGAACTCTTCTTCTAGTTTAATCCTTTTTCATAATTGGTTCCACAACTTTAATAGAATAACCAATACTCCTTCAGTCCCAAATTGGTTGTCGTTTCAGCCAAAAATGACCCGAATTATTGTTGTTTTAGAAGTTCAATGATAGGAACCTGGGCAGAAAAGTATTAATAATAATAGTAGTAATAATAGAATTATTAAATAACTGTGAGTGTAAATATAAGGGTTCCGGGCCATGTAATTCATGAGTTTGGGCTGGCTCTTAAGAATAGAATTATTATAAGAGTGGGAAGGGGGAAAGAAGGGAGTTATGCAGAATTTCAGTTGGAAATTGGGATTAGGCTTGGCAGAGAGACTCTAAAAGATTGTCTCTATTTTCTTATTACGCTATTTCACTGATTTTGCCATTGTAATAGTTAAAGGGATTCTGAGGTTTCCTCTGAATTCCATACTTAATCTACCTAAACTTTCTAGTTAAGAATCTGGTATCTATCATTTGGTATTAGAGCATCAACGATCACTGGAGTGGAGAATGAGTTTTACGCATTCGCGGATGTAGAATAGCATTGGAAGTGTTGAACGCAACTTTGCGGAGATTAGATCTATGCTGGAAGAGATGCGCAACCATTTGCTTCAACGTCGCCGGCTACCTAGAGGACGGTCGAGGGCCGCTAGACTTCACCAGCACTCTGAAAAACAAGGCTTGTTGCAGTCGCTAGCCGAGCCACCCAATTCGCAGGTTTTTTCTCAAACCGCTTCTCACTGTGTGCAAGCTTCATTGTTCCGTCAGGAATCATCCGCTTCCAGAACCCTAGACCACGTGGAATCCGGAAATGGATCGCCAGGAACTTCATCGCTGACAATGAACATTGAGTTGAAGCCGGCAGATCCAAAACCGCAGGAGGTGGAAGAAGAGGGAATTAGCTCCGGTAAAGTGGAATCAGCCAATTTGGAGCCTCCCGTTTTTTCGATCCAGTCGGATGGATCAGTCAATAGCCCCGATTTTTAAGTCTAATAATTCTGAAGATAGTATCCACCATCCAATGAAGCAGAGAGCGAATATTCTACATTGGCGGTTGAAATGGGAATATATCTCAGTAGTCCTAAATCTGAAAAACATTTGGAGGATGGGGAGAATGAGCAGCTAAAATTTGGTTTGGCAACAATGCAAGGATGGGGTATATTATATCTATGGAAGATGATCATGCAGACTATCCAAATCTGGACAGCTCAACTTCTCTTTGCTGTATATGATGGGCATGGAAGTGATGAAGTTGCTAAATTCTGTGCAAAATAACTTCATCAGCAGTTTCTTAAACAGGAAGCATATACTACTGGAGACTTGAGCACATCAATTCAGAATTTATTTCTCAAAATGAACGAAATGATTTCTAACCTAGGGAGTCAAAAAGAGTTAATTGGTCTGACACATGAACTAGAGAGTTGGGAAGATGTGGTTGAAAGCAAATTCTATCCTGAGACTGTTGATGATGAGGATCAGACTGTTGAGGAACTCTCCTAAAAAGGAAGTTGTCTCTGTTTATGAGGGGCCATATTCAGGTTGCACCGCTTATGTTGCCATCATTCGAGTCAAACAACTTATAGCTGCAAATGCAGGAGATTCTCGTTGTGTCCTATCCAGGACGGATCAGGCACCTGATTTGTTGATAGAAATCTGGCTTAGTAGGCTATTTATAAGAAATAATAATAATAGTAAGGGTACATTTAGTACTATAAATAGAAGGGGAAGGGGAGGAAAATAAGCAGGCAAATATTCGGTTGGCATTTTGGCTTGGAGAGTGGGCTTCTTGAACAGTCCCAATACCCTGTATACCTATTTTGAGTTGTTCCTATTGCAATAAACACTTTTCTGATCTGTTCCTAGATTGATTGTGTTAGAATTGCTACTGATTTGTTTAGATTCTACCGGTGTTTTATCATTGGTATCAGAATTCTAATAGTATTAGTATTACTAATCAGCATTACCACAGTGCCGCAAAGGCTCCCACCTACGGTGTGGTAAGGGGGGGTCGGATGTACGCAGTCTTACCCCTGTACTAAAGCACAGAGAGACTGTTTCCGGATGACCCATAGTGAAAATTAATAATCTAGAGTATTGGGATTCTGATGTAATTTTGATATTCTCTATTTATTATATATAGACCACCAGGACACCCTATTAGGGTGAGCCATTATTCCATCTTATTATTTCATATGGTATCAGCAGCCTAGGTAAACCTAGTATACTTGGCCGTTTTTTATCGATCGTCTCTTCTGTATCCATCGATCGATGGCTTCCTCAACGACGCCTTCCACAACGATGGTCTCTTTTTCCTCGTCGGCCACTACCATCGCAGCCACAACGCCAGCCTTGACTGAGTCGCTCTCTTCCTCAACAGAACCGATGGTGTACCTCTCGACTCAGTCTGCCTCATCTGTCCTGTCTTCTCCAATTGTAGTTCAGCAACCACTCCCTCCTGGACCTTCTTATACGGCACCACCACTGTCATCCTATTGCCTTTTCTCCATGCCAGAACCTTTTACATGGAGTCCTGCAGCGACATCTCCCTCTATGGCGGCCTCCCTTCAAAATCAGTCTGGCAGACCTTCGGTCTTGGATCAGCGGCTCTCACCGCCGCCCCTATTTTCTGGCTCCCTCTTCTCCGGTCAACAAGGTCTCTCTCCGATGCAGCAACAGCCCAGCGCACAGCTCACAGGTTTTTCTCCCAATTCTTCCTCTTTGGCTTCTCTCGCAGCTCAATTGGGGTTTTCTACACCCAATGTTACTAATATTGTAACTACCCGGTTAAATGCGGTCGAAGATTATCTACCGTGGCGGACCCAATTTGAGTCTTTTCTAGTTTCCCATAGCCTTCTTGGGATTTTAGATGGCTCAATTGTGGCACCGCCGCAAGTCATGCATGATTTTTCTGGGCGAGAGGTTATGAATTCTGAATTTAATCACTGGCTTAAGATTGACCAGACTGGCCGGTCCTGGTTATTTGCTACTTTGTCACGCGATATTTTAATGGAGGTGTATCATCACAAATTTTCTGCTCGTATATGGGAAGCACTTGAAACTCGTTTTATGAATGCCTGTCGTGCCCGTTCTATAGAACTTAAGTGACAACTTTCCCATATTAAAAAGAAGGAGTCTCAAACTATTGATCAGTATCTTTTGGAAATTAAATTGTTAGTTGATGCTTTGAATATGATCAATTCTCCTGTCAGCAACCGTGATTTACTTGAATATACTATTATTGGTTTGGGATCGGAATATGACTCGTTGCTTAACATCATTAACTACCTACCGGGTGATCTTACTCTTGAAAAGTTGCACCCAATCTTGACTGCTCAAGAGCAACGCAATATTTATCTCCGTTCTCAAGACTCTGTGGTACCACACCAGGCCTTTGTTGCGGTCCCACATCGAGGGGGTGCCGCTCGAGGTCAGGGTGGACGTCATCCTGGAGGTCGTGGTCGTGGTGGCCAGCGGGGTCGTGGACAGAGAGGTAGAGGCTGCGGCTATGGAGGTCAGCCACATCCAGCTTATGGCGGACAGCAGGTGTATGGCAGGCAGCAGCCGCCCCTTCTTCCATTACCTGCTCAAGGCCAGCAGTTTCCTGGACAGCAGATCCTTGGTGGTCAGCAGTTGCGTGGTCCGCAACAACATGGGGTTCCAGGTACAGTTTTAAGTAATATTTTGTCTGGTTATTCATACTTTAATCATCTATCTACTTGCGGTACTAATAGTGTCAGTACAGGTTTCCCATCTGTGGACAATAATTATTCTCATGCTTCTCCACCAGTTGTCTGTCAAATTTGTTACTCCCCAGGTCACTCTGCCCTCACGTGTCCAAGGTTTGTTGGTTCCTCCACTCCTGCTCTGGCTGTACTTCCCACGGGTGAGACTAACGCTTCTGTGTGGTATCCTGATTCGGGTGCCTCCGCTCATATGACCCCTCATGAAGGTATTCTTTCTTCTAAAACTCCTTACACCGGTCCGAATTTTGTGCAAGTTGCTAATGGTACTAATTTACCCATCTCTCATGTTGGTAGTCTTAAACTTTTTACGCCTGGACGCCCGCTTTCTTTAAACTCCGTTTATCATGTCCCACACTTAAAATATAATTTACTTTCTATACATAAGTTGTGTGCGGATAATGATTGTACGGTGATTTTTAACAAAAATTCTTATTCTATTAAGGACAATCAGACGGGGGTGCATCTTCTTCAGGGCTCCAATAAAGACCATCTCTATCCTTTTCATGCTCTTCAAGCGAACCTAGTTTCTGGACCTACCTGGCACAAACGTTTGGGGCATTGTGGTGATAGAGTTTTACAAAGACTTCGGCAAAATAAATTAATTTCAATTTCTAGTAGTTTTCTTCATAATTGTGTTTCTTGTAAGTTGGGTAAATCCCACAGACTTCCTTTTTCTGATGTTATTCATAGTTGTACTGCACCGCTTGAAATTATTCATTCTGATGTTTGGCAGTCGCCTGTTTTATCCAATTTGGGATTTAAATACTATGTCTGCTTCATTGATGATTTTTCTCGTTATACTTGGATTTATCATATGCGACGCAAGTCTGAGGTGTTTACTCATTTTTGTAATTTTCAAACCTTTGTGGAAAATCTTTTTAACAGAAAAATAAAAATATTTCAGAGTGATGGGGGTGGTGAATTTGATAATACCATTTTTCACAATCATTTTTTAAAATCCGGTATTTTATTCCGTAAATCTTGTCCGGATACTCCTGCTCAAAATGGTGTAGCTGAACGTAAACACAAGCATCTTCTTGAACTGACTAGGACTATGTTAATTGAATCTTCAATTCCTCCTACTTTTTGGGTTGATGCTCTGTATACAGCTACTTATATTATTAAACCGTTTACCAACCCCCATACTTAAGAACTTAACTCCTTTTGAAAAATTGTTTAATAAATCTCCCGATTTTTCTTTTCTTCGTCTTTTTGGGTGTGCGTGCTTTCCTAATTTTATTGCCAAGTCCTCTAATAAACTATCACCTCGCTCTATTCAGTGTGTTTTTCTAGGATATGCCCTGGGATATAAGGGTTACCGATGTCTAGATCCTATTTCTGGTCGGGTTTATGTTAGTAGGGATGTCCAATTTTATGAAAATGAATTCCCCTATTCTAGACTTGTTAAAATTCCTCCAACCCCTCCAGCCCTATCCCCTGCCACTTCCTCCCATTGGCCTCTCAATTTTTACTTCCCTACACCTAGTAACATTTCTTCCAGCATGCAAACTTCAGCATCCCCACCCGTCATGCTGGACAAATCTATTGCCAGTATTGAACCCACCTTTTCTTCACCCAGCCCCACCTCAATTCATACGGAAAGCCCCATTCCCAATGAACCAACCAGTCCCACTTCCACTCCACCAGTCAGCCCGTTACACAGCCCCACTTCCAGCTTGCACTCCAGCCCACTGCCCAGCCCCACGATCAGCCCTGGCTCCAGCCCGATGATCCAACCTGTTTTTCTGAAGCTCAAAAACATTTTATTTGGCGGGCTGCCATGGCAGATGAATTTAATGCACTACTTTCTAATCAGACTTGGGATTTGGTACCTTGGGATGGCATGAAAAATGTGGTCGGTTGTAAGTGGGTTTTTAAGACAAAATATAATTCTGATGGGACTGTTGAGCGTCATAAAGCGCGTTTAGTTGCTCAGGGATTTAAACAACAGGGTGGTGTGGATTTTACTGAAACCTTTAGTCCTGTAGTCAAACCAACCACTATGCGTCTCGTGTTATCTATTGATGTTTCTCTTGGTTGGTGTATTCGTCAGTTAGACGTTAAAAATGTGTTTCTTCATGGTCATCTTACCGAAGAGGTATATATGTGTCAGCCTCAAGGCTTTGTCCACCCTTCTTTTCCTAATCATGTGTGTCGCCTCAAAAAGGCGTTATATGGTCTCAAACAGGCTCCTCGAGCTTGGTTTCACCGGTCCAGTGGTTTTCTTCTATCTTGGGGATTCTCTCAAAGTAAGTCTGACTCTTCCATGTTTGTCTTTTGCCAACAGTCTCACGTTGTATATATTTTGCTATATGTGGATGATATTTTAATCACTGGTTCCTCATCATCTCTTGTTCGGTCTATAATTCATTCCCTATCTACTCAGTTTGCTATGAAGGACTTGGGTGATATTCATTTTTTCTTGGGTCTTCAGGCTCGGCGTACGTCTAAGGGTTTGTTTCTCTCTCAGCAAAAATATATTTCTGACTTATTATGCCGCTTTCATCAACATACTGTTAAGCCTGTTCGTACCCCTCTGCCGTCGCGTACCACACTTTCTCTTACAGATGGTGAACTTCTCACTGATGCTACTGAGTATCGTAGTATGGTAGGTGCTTTACAGTATTTGACTTTGACTAGACCTGATATTACTTATGCTGTACATTTGGTTTCTCAGTTTATGCATGCACCTCGTACTACTCACATTGTTGCTGTGAAGCGTATTTACAGATATTTGCAGGGCACTACAGATTATGGTTTGTGGCTTCAAGCTAATCGTGACATCTCTCTTCTTGTGGCCTATTCTGATGCTGATTGGGCAGGCTGTCCCGATAGCTGTCGTTCCACGACTGGGTATGCAATTTTCCTGGGTCCTAATCTTATCTCCTGGCGATCCAAGAAGCAACCCAAGATTGAGGGGTCCAATGAATGAAGATAAGGTGCAAAGGTTGGATTATTCATGAATAACGAAAAGGCGGGACTATTAAAAGAAGACCGCTAAAAGGTTGGATTATTAGTTTCCATTTTCCCTAATAAAAATTAGACATAAGGATATTATTTCCCTTGATTTTAATATTGCATATAATAATAAATTACTTATTTTTTAGAAAATATTGATCGGATTTACCGGCCGTTGACCGGGATGATACTCCGGGTCCGGGTTGACCCTTGGTCTGGTAACTTGTCCAGGTTGCCACACGATCTGGTTTTGATCACATAGACTTAAATCACATTTTTGTCTATAAGTTTTATTTAAGTACTACCTCAGTTTCCCCAACATTGGTACAAGAGGAGGTGGTGCGGTTATCAAGAAAAGTGCGTTTATGTGATTGATATTGAATTGGTAAAGTGAAAATAAAGTAGGAACGATTTAGAACCACGTAAACATTATCAAATTTGGTATGAGACAATCTTAGTGGGGCAGAGCAAAAAAGAAAGATGGGACAACCTTAGCGGGATGGAGGGAGTATTATTCTAGGAAAAACTTCAAAAGCTAAAACTGACAGCGATACACGTAAGTTGTTTTAATGCGTAAGCTGTTTTAATACAAAAAATAATTAGAAGTTGCCTTTTAAAAGCAGAATCTTTTTAGGAAAAAAAGTTCTCGCAATAGGGGGTGTTTAATGGAGAGAGAATCAAAGAAAATAGGGAGAAGGGGCAAATAAGCCCTCGAACTAATAAAAAAAGTGCATATAAGCCCTTTTGTAGAAGGTTCTGTCCGATCATCGTCATTTGGGGAGGTTCTCGGTGGAAATTTTTGATGAATTTTTTTGAGCATCTTCTTCATTAAGTCTAGTTTAGTCATACCAAATTTCAGCTAAAAATTCAACCGGGAAGGCACTCAAATGATTTTCGGAACTACACTACGTTGTTTAACTGCGCAGTAATCTTCAAAAATTCATTTGACTGTCTTCCCGATTGATTTTTTAGCTGAAATTCGGTATGACTAAACTATACTTAATGAATAAGATGCTCAAAAAATTTCATCAAAAAATTCCACCGGGAACCTCCCCAAATGACGATAGACAGACGAAACCTCCTACACAAGGGCTTATTTGCACTTTTTTTATTAGTTCGAGGGCTTATTTGCCCCTTTTCCCAAGAAAATATTGGGTGCGAAAATTACTTGCCTTGGATATATGTACACCAAGGTTTCGATGTACACCAGAACATTCAATGCATATTAGGATACCAAGATTTAGAGATGCCCAGTCTGGCTCAGGTGAACCACAGTCAGCACATTTATCATTCCCAGGCAACCTTTTTAGTGCATCAACTAGTTTTCCCGCATGAATTCCGTTGTGTGGCTGCAGTGAACTTCTCGATGCACGTGTAATACTTTTAGAGGTGATATTACCACCCAATGAATAATCTTCAATTGCATTTTGATCTAAATCTGGAGGACTTCCAATAGAACTGTTTACACTAGCGGGGCTTGAATAGAAATGCTGGCATTCAAGATATCATCTTTAGCAAGTAGAAATTGTAAAATCATAAAATGTAGTAAGGATGAAAATATATTACTCCCTCTAACCCATTTTGATTGTCTTACTTTCCTTTTTGGGTTGTCCCAAAATCAATGTCATGTTTCCTTTTTTGGCATGAAATATGTGGTCCTTTTCATTTCACTTTATTCTTCTCAAATCCCAACCACAACTTTTACTTTTCAACCACTTTATTAATAATCATGTCAAACAAAAACAAGACATCCAATATGGGACGGAGGTAGTAATATATTAATCCTAGTTTTACCAACCCCAAAATCTTTTGGGAATAAGGCTTGGATGTTTATATTAATCCTTATTTTAGTAGGAATATGACTTCCTGTTTTCATTAGATTTAGGTTTGCTATTCCTACAATGTTTAGGCGCCATATTTTCTCTATATAATGAACATCCCTGTAATATCTTTAGAAATCAGGAGTTTGTAATTTAAAAGTCATCAACTATTAGTTTATTATATAATAGAGATCCCAATATCACAGTAATATAAAACAAAAACAAAAACCATTGTTTTTTTTATTTACCTTGACCGGTGTCTGGGAAGTGAGCAAAGAAGCAATAACTCCAGTTATTTTTTCAATCCATTCCATTTGTTCTGCTGCACTCTCAGCCTGCATTTTCAAACTCACCTATTTGTTTAGCATATACTTGGATCCCGGGAAATGAAAGGGAAAGGGGGGATTACAAGCAATGTTACTTTCTTGAGTTTGAATTTACCTTGATTAGGTTTTTATGCATACATTATATTTCTTAGTTGCTATACAATCGACACATAACAAAATCAGAATATAAAATATCTAAAATAGTTAGACTAGGCTCTAGCCTGTCTAGGCTATCTTTTACTTTCCCCCCATCTCTTTCCTTCAAATTTTTATCTATAGTTTCTTTCCTATTTTCCATCAATTGCAATGGAGCAAAAGATTCATTATTTTTTGGCTTGAGAATAGATGGAATAAAGCAAAATGGCTCACTAAACTGTCTGCGCTTCTTTGTTATGAAGCAGCAGTCAGTCCATGCAATTTTGGACG